AACATCCCTGAGCCTCTTGTCAGCCCTGAAGCTGGACTGGGTGACCAGCCTAGGTTGCTTCCCACTGAAATATTCTGTTCTTAGGTTTCCTCAGAAGCAGATTGCAAAATACTGGGGATTTTCCCCTCTGCATTACAGATGGGGTATTTTGGCAGCTGTGTGTGAATCCTTTTTTCATGTGCTATATCTAGTGGAAACAACATGACTTTTAAATTTTCATGCCATGGTTCTGCAAGCTCTAGAAATAGTCCTAAATAGTAAGGAGGCATTTCATTTAGAATAATTTTAAGGAACTTTTATGGCAGACTTTGAAATTGAAACATATAACCAGGTGAATGTGAAAAATTACAGTTCTGAATGAAAATATGTAGAATCTCATCTTGCTGTCTTTTGAGAAAATGAGTTTTCCCATGGTCAGTGTACTCTATCTCTTCCTTGCAGGCTTTACTAATAGCAAGATAAAAGCTGTATTTTCACAGGGAATATTAAAACTCTGAATGAGGACAGCAGAAATACCTGATAATTCAAGCCTTATCTGGTACAAATTTTAGCAAAACAATACATTACAGAAATTGCATCTGCAATCACATACTAATGGTTTTGAAGAAAGGATTGAAGAAATATATGCTTTGTTCAGCATCCATAAAAGAAGTTTTGCATCCAGTTTTTTAGACAGTGACAGTGCAGCCTCCTTGGGTTAATGAGCACAGGGAGGTGCAGTGCTAGCCCTGCCTTTTTGCTGCATTCCGTGTGTGTGGGCAGAGCTTGGGCTGCTGTTTGCAAAGGCCATTGCTGCTCCCTGAGCTGGAGCCAAAGAAGTTTGCCACATTTCATTGTCTGGGAGCCTCAGCAAGCAGCAAAAGGCTGAATGTGCTGAAGATAGAACAGAGAACATCTCCATCCTTTCCAATGCCACTCCTTTGAGGTGCTCTGAGCTGCTGTGGTCCCTAGGCTGTATTTTGGAAACAGAGAAATGTGAATGGATTTTGTTATCCACAGTTCTGGAGACCCAAACTGCACTGGGCTTGACAGTGGGGAGTTGATTATTCTACCCTAACAATCAAGATGTAAAAAAAAAAAAAAGGCAAATGGTCAACACAAATGGATTCAGTGGTGATAAATTTTGTGTAGTCTGATATTAGTTTTCAAATGTTAATTTTATTTATTTAATTATTTATTTAACACCCAGTCATGTAACTGGATGAATTCAGTCATTGAATTCAGTCTTTCACAATGAGTTCCCTTCAGTTAACAAACAAAAGCAATATTTATACTTCTATTTAGACTCTAGTTGTAATTTTGCATATTGTGAAACAGATTTTGTGTATTTTTTTAAAAAACCCCAAACAATAAGGATGGTGTGCACCATTTAGTGTTTGTAACAAAGCCAGATTTTAGGAAGATCCTCAAAAAGGTAACACCTGTGTAGCTGTGGTGTTTCTTCTCTCCCAATTTGTCTCTCATCAGCTGCTGCAGTCTCAGGGGTGCAGAGTCCAAAACAAAAAACTCTAAAAAACCTTGGAGAGTAGTGCAGGGGCAGTGGGAGCAGTAAGGAAAGCAAGAGGATCTGCCTCACCAAGGAAGAGCTGCAGGGAGTGAATAAGGGAACATCAAATTTTCTGCTGGAGAAAATATTTTTTCCCCTGGAAAGTAACAATTGCTAGAAAGAAAATGGAGTTGGGATATAGAAATAAATGAAACCATGCTGGTCCTTAATTATCATATACTAACTGTGCTTCCTTGGGAGCTTGATGGAAAGCTGAAGAGGTTAAAATAAACCAGGGATGCTTTTTAGACTGGTGATGCATGTTGCCAGACAACTAGAACTAGTATTAAGTCTCTAGATTAGTAAAATCACTTGCCTTGCATAATCAGAAATGATTCATGTGGCTTGTAAAAGTCTGTTTAAAAGGATGAAGTGCTGTGTAATTTATGGATTAAGATTTGCCCTTCAATGCTTGTGAAGCTCATTATAGGGAATTACATTGTGTATTCTGGGAAGAAATTTGACTTATATTACAAATTAATTTTGTACAAAATTGGAGCATCAAATCTAAAGTTACTCTTCTAGCAAAGCAGGTGGAATTTCTCCTTGTCATGGGCACAGGAGGGCAGGTTCAGGTGTGTTTTGCTACAGGAATGTCCAAGCAGAGCTGGTCAGACTGGGTGGTGTTGTGTAGTCCTCAAGGATGGAGGGGAGACATTCATTACATGGATTTTACCTTGGAATGAGGATATCCCTCTTCTCATTTAGATAGGAGATGGATTTGTGGTGGAGCCACTCCTTGGTGTCAGCTTGTGAGGGTTAAACCTGCCCCTTGAATTAAAGCAGTCAGAATAGGACTCCTGGCAGCCTTAGAAACTGGAGGATAAGCTGCTGTAAATATCTTTACAGTTCACTTTATGTTTGTCTTTTAAGGACAAAATTACAGTGTTAATGTCAGTTCTTTAATGCTTTCCCACATCTCATCAGTGCCTGTTGCAGTGTTTGTCGTAGGAAAACCAAGAAATGTGTGCTGGGCTTTCCCTGAGGGCTGCAGGGCTGTTGTCATGGGAGTGTGAGCCAAGAACTGCAGAGTCCTGCAGGAGAGATGCTTCACTCTCATAGTTGAGACAGTCACAGTACAAAGCAGCACACTCCATTTTCAGAAGGCTTCAAACCTGGTTTTATTGTAGCATGAATGCTTTTTGCACATTCTTACAGAACCCCTGAGTTTACACTTCACTCATAGGTCAGGAAAGACAAACAAAATGCTCATTGGAATAGGCAGGTGTAGATTTCTCTTCTTTATCCTTCTTTCTTTCTTGGTCTTTATGTCAATGACCTTGGTAGGAAATTCTTTCAGGGGGTAAACATGGATCCTCTTATCAAACTTCTCTCTGGCTCACAGCAGTCACTGTAAAACCTCCTCCACACTTTTCCATTGAGAAATCCAGTAAGCTTTGGCCAATATTGCTTTGCTTTTCTTCTTAAATCCTGCTTGCCAGCCTCCTAACTTCACTGGTACCATGGTTTCTGAATTTTTAGATACCAAACCACTTGTGTGCATTTAACAAATATAGAACGCTGACTTGAAGTCCAGATGTGGTCAGCAGCTTTTCATATATATGATAATCACATAGCAAATATTTTGCTTTGAGTCATAACCCATGCAAATGAAGGATATACCTCCTTTTCTTAGCAAAGTAGTTTTCTTTTCAAGGTCTTTGGTCCTGGGAAGTGCAAGCAGTCTAATTGATGCCTATTCCTTGTGCTCCATCCTTTGATGCTGCCTGGTGACAGTGCTGCCAGGAGCTACTAAACTTGCTGACACTGTTTTCCTGGCTGCACCTGGCAGGCAAACTCATCTTTTTGCCCTGTCTGCTTACAGCTTTTCCTTCTGAACTCTTAAAAATTATTTTTCATCTTGTTACTGAATAATCGGAGGGTGATGGCTTTTGTCAGTGGCAGAGCCATGAATTAATTATTCGATTTTCACAAAAGAATTCATACTATCTCCTATCTCACTCTCTTTAAAAAAAGATAATTTATCCTGCATATCTTGTTGAATGTTTAACTTAAATACAAGGGAAGGAAGGTGCAGGCAGCTGTCCTGTGTGCTAAGGCATAGAACCCAAGATTCATTTGTTCTTTTTCACTCAGGAGATTTTAGGGAGTGGGAGAAGAAGGATGAAGTAAAAATGTCTTTTTTTAAAATTTTTTTGGGACTTTTTGCAATACACAATGAGGTTTACCTTCCTGCCATCCTGGATTGTGTGGAATTCTTTCAGCCTGGGTGGGATATTGCTCCAGTTCAAGTATGGTACACACACAAGGGTCCAGTCTGCCTTGTGTGCCAATAAAGTTTTTTTTTCAATATTTTTTCAGTTCTCTCATTTTTCATTGATCTTTTTTTGAGGGTGAGGGAGATGGGGATGGCTCTTTGAAGCCTCTCAGTGCTGGGGTGTTGCAGCAGTAGAGACACTCAGGGGAGAGGAGGCGTGGTGTTCTTATTTTAGGTGCATCCATTAGAAATGCTGCTGCTGTGCCCTGGAGTGGGAATGCTCTGAAGCGAAATCCTGAATAATCCCTGGTGCAGAGGGTGCTGCTGTTTGCTGCACTGTGCTCCTCAGGGAGATGGACAATAAAGCTGGGAATCCTCCAAGTGAACAAAGAGCAGGGAGATCCTAAAGGGGAGTTTGATGCTTTACAAAAATGCAACGCAGCATAACAAATCCTTTTTTTTTTTTTTTTTTTAATTTATTTTTATTTCAAGGCCTCTTTTAAGGGTGTTGTTGATTTTCCTTGTGTCATCAGGGTGTGTCTGTAGAGGTTGCCTAGCCTGCTACCATGGCTGGAGCTAACAAATCCATGCAGGATGCCAGAAAATCTCGTGCTTTCCTTTGTCCTGTCTGAAAGGCAAACTGTGAGCTGGGGTCTGAACTTCACCCCTGCCCTTGTGGTGTGTGTGTGAATGAATGAAGGTGCTGCTGCCATGTGAGAGTGCTTTGCTCCCTCCTCCCAGGGAGCACGGGGCTGGGACAAACAGGTTCTCCATGGGTGTTATTCCCTTATTCAGCATCAGCAGATTGCAGCAAAGTGCACCTTGAGAAATTAATATTCAAGGAGAATACATTTATTAGCCTAGTAATTTTGTAAATAAGTGCTTTACCCTTTACTAAATCTTGTTCTAGAAGCTCTACATCTATACGTGCTCTGAATGCATCAGGTTCCTTGAAATAAAAGGCTTAAGTCTGGGGGTTCAAACCAGAAAGCAAATTTGCCTACTGGTACCTACATTTTGGAATTGAAGAATTAAAAATAAAAATAAAATATCTGCTAATTTTACATGGCTTCTGTATGTTTAATTATATTTTTGCAACGTTATGGGGTGTTTTGGTGTAATTGGTTTAGGCAGACAAAGTACAAACTGGAATGCTGTAGTACTGTATGAAGAATATATTCCTACTATTCTAAAATAGTTTCTTAAGTGATTTGTTTTTTTTCTGCTTCCCTGTAGATTAAAGCAAAAAATTATGACAAGGTGGAAAAGGTGAGTCATATTAATATATGTAATATATCTCTATAGCAAGAGCAAGTACCTTGTGATTGGGCTAAATCAGATTGAAAAAACTCTGTGGCTGTCATTGAATGTGAAATACAGATAAAAAGTGGCACTAAAGTTGACTTGTTGCTGCCAAGCTCTAATCAGTGAAATGTGCAGGGGGATTTCTCTGCTTAATTCTCTCCAGTTCCCTTGCATAGGAACAAAAGAATGAGTAGTTTAACTTCTTCTTCCTTATAAATCTGAATCATCATTACAAGGGCTATTTAAATTCATTTTGTATAGCTTTAAAAGTAGAAACCTAATTTCTGTGTCTGGAATCCTGATCAATCTTCTTGCTGTATTGCACAGTTATTTCAGCGCTGCCTTATGAAGGTTTTACACATTGATTTATGGAAATGTTACCTTTCCTATGTACGAGAAACCAAGGGGAAGCTACCTAGTTACAAGTAAGTTCCCAGAGTTGCTCTGAATTATTCTAGTTTTATGGTGGATCTCTTCTTGATTTTTGACCAGGGGATGGGGAAGAACCTGGGTGACAAATCTGTCTGGGGATTTTTTTGGTGGAGGGATTAATATATAATCTGCATTTAGAAAACATTCAGGTCTCTTTAATTGAGCTTGCTGGGTAAAATTGGTTCCTGAGTGTGGATTCCTCTAACAGGATGGGGTAAGAGCAGTGCAGGAGCTGGTGTAGCAATGCCAGGTCCCTGCAGATGGGGTTGGTGCTTAAGCCAAAAACCTGAAACTCCTGAAACACATTTCTTCTTCTTTGTCCTTGCCCTCCATGTCCTGTTCAGTCTCCACAAAAGTTAGCACTGGTTCCAGCTGAGACCAGTCGCAGTAAAGAGTTCAGGAATTGGAGGAAGTTTTGCATAAAAAAGTCATAAAATTCAGGGTGTCAGAATGTTGGGGTATGTTAATCTTCATCCCTTTTCAGTTATTGCATTTTGCTTGTTTATATTCCTGTGGGTTGAGTTTCAGAAATGACCAGTGACTTCCAGCATCTATAAACTGTTTCTTCCCCAGCCCACCATAATTTCTTTGCACTATAATGAGTAATGCATTAACAAAGAAAATAAGCAAGGGGTTTTAATTTATTTTTACATGACTGTTTTGAAACAGTTTTAGGACATTCAGTTTGCCTTTCCTCTGTTTCTCCTGTAAATGTGATTAAGGAGGCAATAAGGTACTGAAGTGTGTTTGAGTAAAGGAAGCTAGGACAAAAGTTAGGGAGAGAAAAAAAGAGCTTTCACTGAAACTTAACCAAGGAAATTCTGTAAACATTTTAAATTTGAGGGAAAAGACTTGGAATTTGGGGGAAATAAATAGTGTGAAGTATTCTGGGCAGTTTCCACACAAGGGAACTACTCCTAATTGTCGCAGCCCTTTGGGGCTCCTGGAGAATTACAAAAAGGTTTGGGGAACTCTGAGGGGGAATAAATAAGAAACCATGGGTGCTTCTGTCAGCTGAGAAGATGGGGAGAGCAGTTGGTTTCTTCTCAGTTTCATGTCATATTTGTGGATTTCCACTGACTTGGAGTGGGCCAGGAACTATTAAAATGCTGGATTGCCACCAATGAATTTATAATTCTTGAATAAAACAAACAACCAAAACCCCAACAGAATCTGAATAAGGAATTTAAAGCTATCTGAATACCAGTTTTTTCTCTCACCTGTTGAATATTTCTGATTCCTTGATGTTTGGTTAGAACTTGCTGCACAAAAGAATACACTTAAATAAAGAATTTTTTAAATACTAAACACTTGCTTTATGGTCTTTGTGGTTCTTTCCCTCAGAGAAAAAATGGCTCAGGCATATGATTTTGCTCTGGATAAGATTGGCATGGAAATCATGTCATACCAGGTATGTTTTCTTAATCAAAACCCATTTTATTTCTAACTTTATGACAACTACAGCTAACCATTGGTTTCACCATATGTAATATTTTTTCTCACCTAGATCTGGGTGGATTACATCAATTTTTTGAAAGGCGTGTAAGTACCTGAAAATTCACTTTTTTTTAAGCTCAGTTGATGCAATGCTGATGTTGCTGCCAGTTGTGACCTGTCATAGCTGACCTTGCTCTCTTTCCCCACTGTTTAGAGAAGCAGTAGGATCTTATGCAGAAAACCAGAGGATCACAGCTGTCCGTAGGGTTTACCAGCGTGGTTGTGTCAACCCCATGATAAACATAGAGCAGCTCTGGAGAGATTATAACAAATATGAAGAGGTAACCAATAACTGATTCTTTGTGACATTCAGAAAGAAGTAATTATCCTGTAATGCAACATGGTGCCCAAGCCATATCCTCTAAACACATATGTATAAAAGAGATGACCAGCAGTATAAGCACATTTTTGTATGCAGTATGTACCAACTCCTGTGGCAAAAAATCACTCCTGAGGGATTTTTAAATTTATTTCAAAGACCCTCCATGAGATTCATTTGACTGTCCCATTTCCCAGATGGTAAATGCTGGTAAATGAGTGAGTGAGTGAGGCATCAGTGGAGCAGCTGAGCTGGCAGTGAGGACTTGTGTCCCCAAGGAGGCACTCCCCTCCTTCCACTCACAGTAAATGGCATTCAGCTGCCGTGGTTTGGGCTTCCTCCACGGCCTTAAGTTACATGCTCTCAGTGCTTAAAAATGCTCCTCACCATCCTCCACCTGAAGCCATCCCAGCTCCCCTTCAGGTGAGTCTGCTCCCACACTGCCTCCAGCTCAGCTCTCTGCCCTTTCAGGCCAGTTTGGAACTGCACCTTCAGAGTGTGTTTTTAAACACATTGCTGGCCAAGCAGCCCCAGCCAGCAGCAGTGGGAGTGCAGAGCTGATGTGGGTGCCCTGGTGCTCAGCCCTGCCCTGCAGGGATGCTCATACAGCTCCTGCTGGCTGTGGCTCCCTGTGCCCTGAGCAGCAGAGAAGGGCCAGTTCCTCTTTCCTTGTTGCTAATTAGGCAAGTTGTGAGCTTGGTGCCCTCTCATGTTAATAAGGCCGTGGTGCTTAGTGGGTGGGAGAACCTTTGGGTGGGAGAGCCTCTGGGTGGGAGAACTCCAGGCATCCCCAGCCACGAGCGTGTACCATGACAGCTCATTGCCCCACAGGTGTTTGGGGACACCACTGCTGTCCCCAGAGAGGATGCCCAGGACACACCTTCTCCAGTGTAGGAAAATCCCCACCACAACTTCCCCACAAAGCACCCCTTCCCCTCCCACACAGCCAGCAAAGGCTCTCGCTGCTGGTTCCTCCTGCTCTCATTGAACATGGGGAGGCTGCAGAGCTCAGAGCTGTCCCACCTGAGGCAGCTCCAGCAGCCCCTCAGGCTGTTTGAGCAGCTGGGAGCTGAGGGCCAGAGCTCTGCTGGGCCACAGGGATCTGTCTGTCCTGTTGTGGCTCCTCTGACCTCAGGGGCAGGGCTGCTGCTCACCGGTGTCCTGGCACAGGGGAAGGAGTGCTCCTCACCAGAAGGGCTCTCTGAGGGGGAGGTGATTGCCCAGCTGCCCAACAGCACAGAGACTTCATGCAGGTCTCAGCATGGAAAGGTGATGGCCATTTGCTGTAATCTGAGCTTTCCTTCAGCTCAGCTGTAGCCACCAGCTAACAATACCAGCCTGTCACTCACCAGTCTTTAATGAACTAAATGGTAAAACTTTTAGGGAGACGTGGCTCAGTGACACAGGGACAATCTGGCTCACAAACCTGCATGGCTGCTGAGCTGGGGGTGCACCCTGGGAGAGTCCTGCTGTACCCTCAGCCTGGTCCTGTGGGTTTGTGTGCCACATGGCCCAGTTTGCCATCCCACACAGTGCCTTGGCTTCTGCAGTGAGGGCAAAGCTCCCTTTGCTTCCCAGCTCAGGGGCCTCTTTGCACTTGGGCTGAAAGCTGTGCACGTCTTCTGCACGGTCCTGGCAACCACAGCAGCAAAATCCACCCAGACACAGGCATAGCCAGGGGGTGGCTGCTTTTCCTGCTCAAGTTTTTGTTCTGGCCAGGACCCTGTGCCCAGGGCCTGGCTGCCCCAGCCCCTGCTGCTCTTGCAGAGCCCTCTGCACAAGTGGGACATGTGTGCAGGCCTGGAGGGAGTCAGGCAGTGCTGACACATCTCAGGCAGGAGCCTCTGCATGGAACCATGTTCTCTTCTAAGAGCTGTCAGTTCCTTCAGGAACAGAGGAGAAGGCAGAGCTCTGAGCCTGGAGGTCAATCCCTGGTACTCCTTGTACCAGAAAATCAAATTGCTCATGTGCTCTCAGTCACTGACCGTCATTTAAGAGCGAAATTGTAAATCACAAATTTTCCCACTTTCACCCGCAGCAGTTCATGTGGAGCTTATTTTATGTTTGAAAGTGATTAAACATAAGCTGAGGTGCTTCAGGGCACTTGAATTTTAGTACTGAGTTCATCCTCTGGTATAAGTTCTTGCCCATATATTTATTAGGCGAAATAAATATTTTGAGATGGGTATCTTAAAATAACTTTGTCTTTGGTCACTTTTGCATCCCCTTTCAAGCTCTTTCCTGCATAAATTAAGATTCAGTATGTCCAAAGGGAAATTGCACATTGCCAATGCCTTTTTTCACCCTTCTCCAGGGCATCAATATTCACTTAGCCAAGAAGATGATCGAGGACAGGAGTAGAGATTACATGAATGCACGACGAGTGGCAAAGGTACAACCTTCTGTTGACTTTTCTTTGTCCTATTTAACTCCACAAGCCAGCATTAAGCTTGGTTCTTACACCAAATAAAAGTGTGCAAAGACTAGTAAGGCTGGCATGCTAAAATATTTCCATTTGTTTTAGGAAGCATAACCTGAAGGAAGTGTTCAATGTGTTTAAATTCAAAGCCCTGCTTGTGTTTCAGGAATATGAGACGGTGATGAAGGGCCTGGACCGCAACGCTCCCTCCGTGCCCCCACAAAACACCCCCCAGGAGGCTCAGCAGGTGGACATGTGGAAGAAGTACATCCAGTGGGAAAAGAGCAACCCTCTACGAACAGAAGATCAAACTCTGATAACAAAAAGAGGTAATGAGATGTCTCTAGGGCGTAGAGAATTGTATTTCTCAGCTCCAGCAGAAGCCACGACGTGATTCGGTGTTCAGGGATCGTGCTGGAGTAGATGTTGGTGGAGTTTCTTGAATTGTGTGGGTGGTTTTTTTTATAAAAAACAATCTAGATTTTGCTAAAGGCAAGCTGGAAGTAAGAAATGGATTTTGGGAGATAGTTTTGTGCCACTGAACCTCTGGTGCAGGTCAGGGAACAGTAGATTGCAGCCTGATTTTATGGCTGATTTTGAGTGAGCTGTGCTTGTTCCTCTGTGGACAAGGCAGGTTTTAGCTGCTGCTTGTGGTTCGTGAAGTTCCTGGCAGTATAAAAGAACTGCAGCAGTGACCATTGTATTCAAAGCCAATTAGTGTTGATGCTGTCTGATTTATTTGATGCATTTTGCATTCCACGCTTGGGTTGTACAATGGTGGCACCATGTCCAAGGAGTGTTCCTCTCGTGTTTTGCCCACAGTGATGTTTGCCTATGAGCAGTGTCTCCTGGTGCTGGGCCATCACCCAGACATCTGGTATGAAGCAGCTCAGTACCTTGAGCAGTCCAGCAAGCTGCTGGCTGAGAAAGGGGTAAGCACCTTGCCACTGGCTTTCTCCTATTTCCTTGCTCTGACGTGCTCTACTCTCACTTTTTCCTCAGAATCAGGGAGGGAGGGTGTGAAAACATAGTTGTGACATGTTCAGAATTTTCAAATGGGGAAACTAAAAATTTTAAGAAATAAAAATGTCTGCATTTTAGACAAGAATTGTGAAAAATTGTTTCAGTCTTGGCCAGCTTTAGGCTTGGGGGATTTTTTGTGCCTGATTTTGTGATTCCTTAAGTACTGGGGAGATGATTTTCTCTTTGTTGGAGCACTGAATGGAAATTCACTGGGGCTTGTCACACACAGAAGATATTCCATAAATTGGCCTTCATTGTCACAGATGCTGAACAATTGTATTATTATACTTATTTTATAACAGGACATGAACAATGCTAAACTTTTCAGTGATGAGGCTGCTAATATTTATGAAAGAGCGATCAGCACTTTATTAAAGAAGAATATGCTTCTTTATTTTGCATATGCAGATTATGAAGAGGTGAGCAAAAATAGTGATGTACTGACATTAAAATCCAAATAACATCTCCCATTAATACTGTCATTTATTTGAAACATCCTGAGTGCACAAAATTCTGTAGAATTAATTTACTGATTCTTCTAGCCTTATTCTCATTCAGTATTTCTGAGAGAAAGCTGACAAAATGGAGAGGAAAAGCTATGAAAATCCACTCTCTTTCCATTCCAATATTGACTGTATTTCTGAAATTATCATAAGGGTGAAATGCCTAAAAATTTCCATTTTCCAGAGCATCAGCTTCTGCACTTTTAAAGTGGGCATCAAGGGCATCTTTCCTGTCTGATTCTTGGGGAGGTGACGTTTTTGTTGGCACAGCTGTGGCAGAAGATGGAGCCACCTTTGCTGCAGCTCCCTGGAGAAATCTCTTTCCCCAGACCACAGTGAGCTTCCACAAGGAGCAGGGCCCCAGTGGTGTTTATCCCACCAGGAATAAATGCTGTTTCCCACTGGGCACATGAGCACTGTGGAGTCTTCTGTGGGGTATAATTTGCCCTCTTATTTTCTTGTGAAAGAATCTTTCCAGGGAGAACTTCAGGACAACAGAGAGGGGAAAAAAGCCTTTGCCTTTAAAAGAAAAATCCTTCCTTGGTTTTCAGTGCTGTGTCCTGGTTTTTCAAGGCTGCACAATACAGCCTGGAGGGCTGCAGCTGGCAGGGAACAGAATGGGCTATTGGAAATGTGTAGGTTGGAGAGTTAAGGAGATGGTGTTCCCACCTCTCTGCACATTGCTTTTAGACACAGGTAAAGCATAGTCTTTGTGTGCCAAACACCTGCAATGGCAGTTCTGCTGCAGCATTACTGTATCAGAAAAAGACTTCAAGGACTCCTGAAAATCACGTAGTGGGAAATGAGTGTGGGAAGTGAAAAATGTCTGCACAAGACAGAATATGCATCTGGGTAAAGGGGCTGACATACACAGTGTTCAGCCAGGGAAAAATGGGAGCAGGAGAATTCTAGTTTTGTCTTCAGCTTGAGTTTTGCCTTCTGGGAGGGGATCTGAGGGGGTGAGTGAGCAGTGTGTGCTTGCCTTCCCCCAGAGCCGGATGAAGTACGAGAAGGTGCACAGCATCTACAACCGGCTCCTGGCCATCGAGGACATCGATCCCACGCTGGTAAGATCATCCTCAGTGCCTCCCCATCCCCATGGACTGGCACCCAGTGCATGCACACAGTGGGGAAGCTCTTCCAGGACTCCTTGGGTCACAGGCATGGAGGACTGAGGTGGCAGAATTACAATCTTTAATCCATTGAAATACCCTAAGAAGTGTGCACTTTACTCCTGTGTCTCTCTTACAACGAGTAATGAAGATAAAAGATATAAAATATTTCACAAGCATCCCGTGGCCATGTAGTTTGCAAATAAATCTGCAATGCATCGTGTAGGTAGCAGAGTGTTGCTGTACCTCTGCTGCAGTGACACAGAGGACACTGTCCATGTGCCAGCTGTGGTGCTGCTGAACAAGTGGTGTCAGCAGGAACCTGCCCTCAGAAGGTTGTTTAGTTTATTATAACACAACAACCTGAAATGGTTGTTTAGTTTATTATAACACAACAACCTCAAAAGGTTATTTAGTTTATTATAAACAGGCACAACAAAGCATGAGGGGGCAAAAGAAGGTGTGAAGCCTAACACTAAACAGCAGGGCAGTGTCAGAGGGGAGGTATCCATTCCCTAACACTTGCCATCTTTTTGAGACACATCCTAATGCTTCCCAAAGGCACGTTGTATGGGAAACCATGTGCCAGTTCCTCCTGCTAAGGAATGCTGCTATTCATGATCTAATTCAGAGTGAAGGAGAGTTGAATCCCAAAGAAATGCAAATCACAAATTGGCTGCTGAATTAAGTAGCACGTTCATTATTTCCTTGATCAGGTATAAATACTTGCAGGCAGGAGGATTTGTATCTTGGATTGTATCATGTACAGTAAAATGCTTCATCAGGCCTTTTGGCTGTTCCTTGGCTTTGTGGGCATCTTAACTTTACTGGAAAGTTATCATTTTTACAACAAGCCTTGAGTTCTCTGAAGGCACCAGCTAATGTCAATGACATTCATCTCCTTACCTCCCCTTCCTTGAAAAATCTCTGTATTCACTACTGTCTTTTCATGGGATCAGTCTTAGGTGTATTCCATTTTTTATTTTTAAAAAAATCTATAAAAAGGTTTCCCTCAGTATTATAAAGCAAAACAACACAGAGGCACAAGACAGCCTTGTTTCTATTAGAATTCATCTGCTGTATTTTATGAGTCATGATTACTTCAGACATAGTAAAAACCTTAATGATAGCCTGGTGTTCTTTGTTAGCACTGATGCTATTTAAATATTAATGTGCACCTTAGGTTTATATCCAGTACATGAAATTTGCAAGGCGAGCAGAAGGCATTAAATCCGGAAGGACGATATTTAAGAAAGCGAGAGAGGATGCCCGGACCCGCCACCATGTCTATGTTACTGCAGCTTTAATGGAGTATTATTGTAGTAAGGTAACCACAGGTGCTCACCCTGATCCTCAACAAGTGCCAGGAGCCTGCACAGCTCACTGAAGCTAATAACTTTTTTTTTCCCCCCCCTAATGTTTGCAGGATAAGTCTGTGGCCTTTAAGATTTTTGAGCTAGGGCTGAAAAAATATGGGGACATTCCAGAATATGTACTGGCATATATCGACTACCTTTCCCACCTTAATGGTAAGCTTTGAGCTTTGAGAGGTCTAATGAAGCATTACTCAGACCAGGTTCTTGGTGTTTAAATTCTTCATGAAGCTCAGCAGCAATCTGAGCACAAAACCTGCTGCTGGTTTGTCTGAACCGAAGCTCCAGAAGTCTGGTGACATTAAATCTGGATTCTGCTGAAGAGAGTGAACTTTCCAAATTGTAACTCACTGGCAGTGCAGGAGTTTTACAGCATCTGTAAAACTGTGAACAGTGGGAAGTGCACTGAGGAATTTAAATCCTGAGGAAAAAGATTTAAAGGAGTTTACATGAGAGGAGTGAGGGATTAGCTGGTCCTGATTAGGATGAATTTAAACTCATTCTCCCCAAGCAGATGAGATGAGCAAGATGTAAAATCAATACTGAGCATGTCAGTCATGCTGGCTGACATGGAAGGTGCTGGGGAGCTGCAATGGAAAGAGCAGGGACGGGGGCTGGAGGTGGAGGTGGTGGTGGAAGGGCTCTGGGTGGGATTCCCTGGAGCTGAATGGCCTCCTTGAAAGGAAACCCAAAGCTGCTGTGTGGATTCTGCAGCACCAGGCACCATTCATTCATCTGCCAGGCTGCAGTTCCTGGGGTTTTCAGGCACTGGGAGTTTAAAGATTTTTGAGGGTTTTTTTCTCCTGTGAGCTGTAAAATGAGAGACTTTATCTAAGAGAAAGTATATCTAATTTTGCTCTGAGTTATTGAGGGTCTACATAAATATTGACAATACCTTTCTGTAAGTTGCCATGAGAAAAAAAATCTCCTAGAAGTCCCTAGTTTATTGGTCTATTTTAATAACCCAGCAGAACTGCTGAAAGGCAGGAGAAGTGATCTCTGAGCTGTAGGTGCAGGAGGTGGTGCAGTGCACAGGGCAGGAGTTGGCACCAACCTCTCCATCCCCCAGCTGGCAATGTGCAAAGACTGACTGCTTGCTGGGAGCCAGCTCTAATAATTTTGGGAGGATTCTGATAATACAAGCATATTAATATTGCCCTGATTTAAAAGGGAAGTAATGAATCAAAAGGCCAAATTTAAATTTGCCAACATATGCTACTGAGATAATTCAAGAAAATTGATAAAACCCCCAGAAATCCTGAAGAGATGCTAAGTAATAGTTGTGGTCTTATAAGAGAAGCTGTAGTAGGATAAGTTTGTCACTATCAATAAAAAAGACTCCCAAAGAACAAATTCACATGGGAATTTAACATCAGGGAAGTTTTATGTGGGCACTCAGATCTCTTTATACTTACTGAAATTCAAATCCATGAAAGTCAGCCTTATGCTTAATTCAATGTACACATCTCTTTGAATGGACATATTTTAACTTGTCTTTAATATATTTTACTCACTGTGATTTTTTTTTTCCTTTCTATTTTTAAAGAGGACAACAATACAAGAGTTTTGTTTGAACGTGTTTTAACTTCAGGGAGCCTTCCACCTGAGAAATCTGGGTATGTATGCAAAAGCAGTTTCACTGCTCTGGAAAAGATACATAACCCCTTTCAACCATAAATATAACCATAACCCCTTTCAACCATAAATATCCCAAAGAAATTAGAAACATGAACAGCAGGACAAAATTAGGTACAGATGGTCCTTCCCCTCTTCATGCTGTCCAAAATAGCAACAGCTGTGACAGATTTGGGAAAGTCCCTTTGGTAAAGTCCCCACCTCTAGTGAAATTCATTAATTTATTTGCTTTAATAATAAATTAAAGTCTCACTGATGCAGGATTGTTGAGGATAGAGTGCAAAATCCTCCTGTACAGTAAGGATTCAGTGGTCTGAGCTGAGAAGGTGAGTCAGGAATTTGTTGAGGAGGGTGCTGAGCATTTCCCAGCCATGAAAATAAAATAGGAAAAGAACCAGAAAGGACTTGGATTAACCACTCACTGCCATGTTTGCATTACTACTTTTTAAGTTTCCTTCTCAAAAAAAATGCTCACCAAAGCCTTGCAGTCTGAGGGTTCACTTCACCATTATTACAAAAGCATCAAAAGTAAGGAATCAAATATGGCACTGCTGTGCATATTTGTTCTGCACTTCAGTTCTGATCTTTTGTGAGAAATATTTTTATACCCAATTTAAAAGTGACAAAACACAAGAGCTTAAAAGCTGAACCTTCTTCAAAGATGAACTCCAAAGCTAAAATATAAGTTGAATCAAGTCCAGAAATATGGTCAGATGTTGCTTAAGTTATATATGAGATTTTCCATGGAGAAATCAGCAGTAACTCTATATTTTGGGCTGTATAAAGTTCTGAAGTGCTGCCTGTTGTGGTCTTGCCAGTTGGAATGTGCTGCTCTGTGATCATAATGCATGGTAAAAGGTCCTTCCCATGTCAGCATCAGAGTGAAGCTGTGTGTGCAGGATGAGCAGAGTGTTTGATGAAAGCTCACCTCAAACGCTGCAGTCCTTGACACCAGAATTCCTTTCCCTTCTGTAACAAATTCCTTTGCAGCCCAGCAGGCTGAGGGCTCTTACAGAAATGCAGCAGGCACTGGGAGGGCAGTGCCTATTTTAGATGCACCTAAAGCACAGAACAGAAGTGGCCATGCCCTCCCAGAGGGGCTCCTGTGGGTTTGGGACTGGGTTGTGCTCAGTGATCCTTCCTCCTTCAGTAACCCTCAGTGTCCTGCTCTGTTCCAGGGAGATCTGGGCTCGGTTTTTAGCCTTTGAAAGTAACATTGGGGATCTGGCCAGCATCCTGAAGGTGGAGAAACGCAGGTTTACAGCCTTCAAGGAAGAGTATGAGGGCAAAGAAACAGCTCTGCTGGTGGACAGGTACAAATTCATGGATCTGTACCCTTGCTCTGCCAGCGAGCTGAAGGCCCTTGGTTATAAGGTGAGTGGCTAGGAACACTTCAGTTCACTGGTGTTCTTCTCAATCCTAGGAATCTTGGGCAAGTCCTTGTTTAGGACTTGCCTTATGGTCCTTCCCCTTGCTAGAAAAGCAGGTAAAATAGGCCTGTTCTTCCTCCTCCTCCTCCTCCTCCTCCTGGTCTCATTGGGCAGTAAAGGAGCCAGGACCATCAGTACCAGCTGCAATTTTGGGTGTTCCTGGTTACCTCCCATCTTCCCATGGAGAGGTCAGTGTGTTAATGCCACCCCCTTGCAGCTACAGGCCTCCACTCCACATCTGGGCTCCTTCAAACACCAGAGTTCTGTGGGAAATTTGAAGGATCAGGTCACCTGTATGAAATATGGCTGGCTGTCCTTCTGCTCTGGGGTGGCAGAGTTCCCCTGACTCCAGTGGGAACTGCATCAAAGCCAAATGCTGCAGTGCCAGGGTTTGGTGGGAATGGCTGAGAAAAGCTCTTCACAGGGAGCACTGCTGCCTCTTTTTTCAGTTTTTGCTGCCACGTGGAGTTCAAAGTCTAGGCCAGACCCCTGCATCTGGTGGTCTCCTCCTTGGTTTCTAACCACATGTATTTTTACTATTTCTGTCATTTAACACTTTGGGGAATCATTAGAACAGAACAGGATGTTGGTTTATAATTTTTAAAGGCTGCCAGAGAAGCAGAAACAGCTGATTGCCATTTGCATGGACAGGAAGAAACCCTCAATCCATGGTTCTCAAGCAGTGCCTCAGCTTCCACTTACTTCTTACACAGAAAAATGATGTATGAAAAATACAGATGCCATCAAAGTTAACAAAGCAGCTGCATTGTTGACCATCACAGAGCTCTAAAATAATCTGCTAGGTGGAAATCAGAGTCACATCGAGCCACTGAATACTTTTCTTTGAATGCAGTGGGGGCAAAGTTATTTTGAGATTAGATGTGAGCTTACCAACAAGTACATTTTGCTAAGTGCAGGCAGGGCAGTGTGTACCTAAGATGGTGCAGTCCTGCTGCTTGGAACATGCCAAAACATAATCCTGTTTGAACTGATGCTTTGCATGCCTGCTGACTGCCTTATGCTTTACTTCTTTTCCAGCTAAAGCAATCTAGGAATGAAATGAAGGAGAAATGATAGTTGTGAAGGCCTAGTGCTCTGCACCTGTTCACCTAAATCCTGTTAACCTAAAAAAGGAGCCACTCCAAAATGACAAACACACGTTCAGGAACACAAACAAGTGTTTCCATTCCATCCCATTGGGTCGCTGTAGGATTCAAATCTTTAATGAAACCATGCAAGTTTTGCCCAGATGGCCTTGTGAGAGGCCATCTGAGATGATAATGAAGACAAAGTGAGAAAAAGCAACTGGTGCAGAGCGAGGTTTTGTTCTGTAATTGAAGCTAGCAGTGTGATCCTGCCAAGCTCACGCTCTCTAATTGGCTTTCACAGGATGTCTCCCGTGCCAAGCTAGCAGCAATAATTCCAGACCCTGTGGTTGCACCTTCCATCGTGCCTGTTCTCAAGGATGAAGTAGACAGGAAACCCGAATACCCCAAACCAGACACCCAGCAGATGATTCCATTCCAGCCAAGACACTTAGCACGTAAGTCAGGCTTTGGGGAGTGGTTGAGTTTCACCTGTGGTGAGCTGGGAACCTGGCTGCTCAGCCTCATCAGAGGCTTTCCTGCTCCTCAGCCATCTAACCCTGTACTTAACTCTCAGGCTGTCATTTCACTGGCTTGCTAAAGGCACATGTGTTTTAATTAATGCCAAGGTCTCATGGAAATAGGTACAAGGGGTTTGGGGTCTGGTAAATGGTAATAAGCTGTTACACACATCACAGGGCAGATGGCTGAGTGAGCAGTGTGGAATTAGTAGAGGTGAAAGGGACAAGGCACTAATTATTTGTATCAAATAACAATGCAGTGCAAAAGCAGCTCTGGCCCAGCTGTCCTGCACTGGCTTCACCCAGCTTTTCTCCCCACAGCTCCAGGTTTACATCCTGTCCCAGGCGGGGTATTTCCTGTTCCACCAGCAGCTGTAGTTCTCATGAAGCTCCTGCCACCTCCTATTTGTTTTCAGGTTTGTTTTAAAGAGCTCTGAACATTTCAGAAAGCTGTGGAAGACATTCTGTCATGACAGAACCACAGTGTGTATCACTCTATTGGAAATAACCTTCTAAACTTTTTTTTTCCTTTGGTAACAAATCAGGGTCCCTTTGTTCAAGTGGATGAGCTCATGGAGATATTCAGAAGATGCAAACTGCCAGACAGTAAGTTACTTGTCCTCTCTGGAGGGTTAGTGCTGCATGAGACTTGCTTTTACATATGGATATTTGTGTCTAAAACCCAGACCTCATTTACAAGTTGTAATTAGTGTTTAAGAGCAGAGGAGATTGCACTGGAATCTGCATAGAGGTGTTTGCACTTTTACCTACAGGGAGGCAACAAAAAGTCAAAAATCTGCACATCACCAGCTGCTCTTTAATATGTTGGTGGTATCAACTGAAAGAAAGAAATTAAGATTTTGAGAATGCCCTTTAAAGGCAGCGTTTCCAGCAGCATTGCAGCTGCAACATGAAATTCCAATGGTGAGGGATGACTCTGAGTGCACATTGTTGAGCCCCTGCAAAGAGGGGAAGGAGGGTTCTGGAACAGAGAAAAAGCACAGATCCTACAGCAGATGATAATATGCCACTCTTCATGCTCCTTGTTTGAGGAAAAAAAATTATCATGGAGAAAGAAATGTAGGATTTAATTTCTTCGAGTGAAACTAAAATATCTATTTAAATTATACAGGGTATTTTTGAGGCTTCCTCTGTTGAGAAGCAGAAACTGACTTGCTGTGCAGCCTCTCTGGTGAATCATGAACTAGTTACCCTGATTCCCAAAAGGCCTTCCTGTTTTACTGCAGCTCTCAAACGACCTCAATTCCTGTGGAAAGGGAGGGGAGGGCTCCAGCTGGAGCAGCAGCATTTCCTCTCTAACTGGTGCTCAGAGTTTCAGGCAGCCAAGGCTTAATATTTGTCCAAGAGGGCAGGAAAGTGTGTGATGCTGCAGAAGTGTCCCAGGGTGTGTGGGTGTCCCTGCTGAGCTGCCCTGAGTGCTCTGTGTGTGTCTCTCCCTCAGCTGTTGACGAAGCTGTGCGGATAATCACGGGCGGCCTGCCCGAGATCGCTGTGGAGGGCAATGGACCTGTGGAAAACAACACCATTCTCAACAAGGCCGTGAAGAGATCACACGAGGATTCTGATGATGATGAGGAGAAAGGATCTGTAGTTCCCCCTGTACATGACATTTACAGAGCACGACAGCAAAAGAGAATCCGGTGAAACAAGTTTGGAGTTCTGCTGTGACAGACAAAGACTTGCATTGAATCAGTCTCTTAAAAGTCAAGCATTTAAAAGGGACAGCTGCAAACAAAAAAAATCCTTGAACATGGTTTTGTTACTGTGGTGCCTCTTCTCCCATATGGTTCTTGATCTGAAAACAGCCCGAACAACCTTAGAATGTGCTCTGAACAAAACTCGGTTTTCAAAACCAAAAGTGCAAAATGTCAAAACTGTATTTTGTTCTTCGGGGGTGTACACATCTACCACTTGAACTCTTGTGGGTTTTCAACAGTTTTATTTTAAAAACTGGATGGCTTATACTTGTGAAGCATTTTTAATTCACATTTTCTGGAAAACAGTTGTTCTCAGTTTGTTCATGTAGTGTCCTGCCTTATTGTTCGTTTTTATTTATGGCAGAATGTAAGGAATCTGTTTTGTAGTTGAAAATTTAAAAATAAAACAACAACAAAAGACCATTCCTTTAAAATAAAAGGATAGCCATAACATCATGCCTCATTCTGGTTTTATTCAAACACAACAAGGTACTTCTTAAATATTACTCAGCCACTTCAAAAGCAATGCTAATTATACCGTCACAGGAAATTGATCAGAGCATACATATTAGAATGGAGCTTGCTTTCCATTTTCTAGAGGATACAGCACACTTTGGCTTGTAATTCCAGGACTGTTTGAAGAAGACAGCATTGTAAGACTAACTCAGTTCAGTGTGGGTAATCCAGGAGCACTGGCTCACACAGCCTGGTCCTGGATACCTGCACTGCTCTTCCACATAATGCACAAAGCTAAATGTTAATAATCAGCTACATCCTTGCACTTATCTTCAAACAAGCTAAAGAAACACTATGTGAGCTTTCCAAGCAGTTTCTATGCCTACTTCAGCTTTGAACTTGGAATTGGCTGTGATAGCATTGACTCTGATAAGATCCTAAGAACCCTTGGACTAGAGGGCAGAGCCATTCCCAGCACAGCGGCCCCAGGGCTCCTCTGCCTGGGCAAGGGGAGGCAGCAGCTGCCCCAGGAGCCGGGGCTGGCCTTGGCCATCCTGGAATGTCCTCCTTGCTTTGCCACTCAATGGCAGCTCCCTGTTTCTCTAGAGAGGATGTAGAGATGTTTGTCAAACGCTCTCCTTAAATAGAACAACCTGGGAGAATCATTACCTTGCACTTGTGGGAAGTTATTGCAGTTCCATTAGGTCCTTCCTGTTGAAAGGCCCCCAGCACCTGTGCCAGGGGCATTTGTTCCTTTGTGTGGAGCCAGGTGAGTACTGCACTCTGTTCCCTCTTTCTAGGACCTTCCTGCTACACAAAGGCTTAGGATCAAACCCATGCTGTGATTGAGCTGGGATTCCCTGTGTGGGCCTGACCCCTGAATCCCAGCCCTGGGAGCAGCCATCTCCTCAGTCAGGGTTTTATCCATTGCTAGAGCAGTGCCTGCACCCTGCCATCAGTCACACACCTTTCAAGGGCTTCTCTTTGTCCTCCCCACACCCTCAAGCTCACCCTGTGCCTCTAAAGGCAGCTCCTGGGCAGGACTAATGATAAAACAACAGCAGCACCTCCTAAGCTGTGCAGCTGTCATTGAGGAAATGGAAACAGCTGTGCCTGGTTATCATGTGCCATCATCCCCAGCAGTGAGGGAGGGCTCTGGTAGCTCCCTGAGCACAGGCTGAGGGAGCTGGTGCAGCTGCAGAGCTTCAGGCTGTGATGGCAGCACAGCCTGCTCCAATAGCAAAGCCCAGCAAGCTGAGGCAGCAGCCTTGAAGGCCTCTGTAGAACCCTTTGCTGATCCAAACAGTGAAATAGATCCTACTCAGAACCCTTTTTTTTTCTGGCTAACCAACCTCATTTTTGAGTTCTCAAAGGAGGATTCACAGACATTCATTTGGCCAAGAGAAAAATCCCTTGTCTGAGCTGATGAACTCTCACAGGGTTTTTCCCTTGGGGAAGGGGCTTTGTAATGCATGAGAAAAGATTTGGTTTAGAGTTGCATAGGCTAATATAGGAAAAAAGGTCTGATTTCTCCCATCCCCCTCCAAACACAAAGTTGGTGCAGCTTTATCCACACTGACATTCAAAGGAAACTGGAAAGGGAAGCATCAACAGTGGATCATAATCGAGTGCTTCTGCAAGTTCTGTTTGGCTGATTCCTAAATTAACCTGCCTGCTGGCAATACAAGGGCCCTTCACTCATTTATTTCACCTACCTTGTTGTTTTTTTTAAAGACAGCACGTTCTGGTTTGGACAACCTCATACTTGGGCCACTTACTGTGAGTAACTACAAACTTTGCTCTCACAAAACCATCAAATATTGATTACTGAAATACACAGTTGTGCTCAACCAGAGGAAAATGTCACTTACCTCCCAGCTGAGCCTGAGATTGCAATGTAAGATCACTGGGCTCTTCTCCTCTCTACAACATGTAGCTTATTAAATTCGAGACCTACAAATATTCTAAGTTTCAAGAACACATCTAGAAAGTGAAAAAATCTACTAAAATATTCCCTGTATATTCAAACTAACATCAAACCATTCACCTCCCACAGTACATTAAAATCACTGATACTGCCCACAGTGCCCTGCACGTAACATTTTTGAAGACATGATTGAATATGCAACCATCCCCTGTTGTAGTTTTTAAAAAAGCCAAAAATTTTCAACCTAAAGTTTCACACACTTTAAATCCACCTTCTGCAAATGAGAATTTACTTTAAAATTAGTATTTCACCTAAAAAGGAGTAAATTACTAGCAAAAGAAAAGAAGGTAAGAAATGCCACTTTTATCAAAATGTTTTAGCTCTGCCCTTTCTGAAATCTTTACAAGATATAAATACAGCTGCAATCTATAAGATTGCCACCTCTGGGAGTACTGTACATAGCAGAGGACAGTTACCCAATAACCAGAAAATTTGCTACAAAAATATATTATGTTTTGTAACATCTGCAGGTAAACAGCAAAAAAATGCTATTAAAAATGCAGTAAAATACAGAAAAACTAGTAAGCCTACCATACTCACCATAATGTTACAGTAAAGTGCTGCTTGGCTTGGTGTTTTGTCTGGTAAAGTTCATCTTTAGAATTTTAACTTAATTAATTCTTTAAAGTAAGATTTAAAAAACAAACAAATCACCCCTTCTGGGAAGAACCATTGCTAATCAGCTCTGGATAAATTAAAGCAAGTTCACTGTAAATTAAGCGTTAAATGCCCTGAAATGAGCCACTTCAATACAAAGTTTGGTTCTTAAACTTGCCCTATCTATCACCAGCTCAAAAATCTAAAAATTGCAGCCAGAAAACTCCTATGATATCCCCTTCCCCAGGTTGCATAATTATATTAGAAATGCATCTGTCATCTTTCAGCTCAGAACCCTTTTGGCATCGCCTCTGTTTCCCTCACCAGTCAGCACTCGTGGGTTAAAGGAACCAGTATTTACACGGAAAGCTCTTTTCCTAGACAAATATTGGTACAAGTTTTATTTAATAGCTGACAATACTGTAGTGATAGCACACAGACTAGTTTTATGATTCTTCTGACTTCCCTACAATTTGGGATTCTTCCTTAGTCAGTATTTTGCCAAGGACTGCATCATAGTAAGGGCTGAAGACCATTCTGTTGTAGTTGACAAGACGAATGTACTTGGCAGCAATCTCCTCCAGCTCCCTCTGAATGGGGCCTAATCCTCCAGGAATGGCAGGCAATGATTTCTGGTGACTGGATGCAAGATAATTCTCCAGAAACTTCTGAATTCGAGAATCTGGAAAAAAAAAAAGGGGGTTGGTTTGTTTGCAGAAGAGATGGTGAATTAGAAACAGCATCGCCTCATGTGAAATGCAACAAGCCTGAAGGTGGCCAGCAAAGACAACATGGAAACAACATGGAAACAGCAGGGAGAGGAGCCCTGCACATCCCCCAGCCCCAGCTCCACAGCCAGGCAGAGCAGAGCACTCTGCAGACCCACCTATGAGCTTGGAGATGGAGTTATCTGGGCTGCCCACTGCCTGGATCTGCCCCTTCAGCACAGCCTCCCTCTCAGCTGAGAACGGGGTAAAGCCATGCTGGGAAAGGCAGCTGTTCACCTCTGCACACACCTTCTCACCCACGGTGGCCAGGGATTCCTTCAGGTTAAAGGAGCTACAAAACATGAGGTACAGCACAACTGTGTTAGTTACTCACTGCTTTCCCACTTTTTAAAAATAAATCATTCAATTAGAGTTGCCTTACTTAGCAAATGTAGTGGGAAAAGCACAATGCAGATCAAGGCAATTATAAGGATTAATCAAATTACAGACACATGAAAAATAAAGCTGAGATCTAAAGCAAGGAAGTAGAAAATCATTCAAGACTTAAAACCTGAACAAACCATACACATAAGAGCTGACTTTCTGCCTGAGGACAGCTCTGACTAGAGCAAAACCTGGAGGTGTAATCACTGACTCTGCAGGCAGCTCACTGTGCCTCTTCCAAGTGGGAAACAAACATTGCTCTCCTATAAAAAAGCTTCCATGGAATGAACTTCACTAGCTCCATATTTTTATCTCCCAGGTTTTTGGGGAGCCTGGCCCAAACTCTGAGCAGGGGCAGCTGCTGGCACTCTCCTGTGCCAGCCTGGCACCATGAAAAACACAAAGTTTGTACAAACCATGAAAGAGCAGATTAAGGAAAGACAGCTCTGTGTGAGTTAGCTGAAGAAAAGCTGGACTCATAAAAAGATTGCATTTCCTGCAGTCCCCAGGCAGAAAGTGGCTGAAGCTGATCATTTCCCAGGGTGCCAGGAGAGCTCCTGCAGCTGCCCTGAGAGCAGCAGTGCTGTACTCACGGGAGATGCATCCCTGTCAGCAGCACCTTGACGATGGTTTTGATCCTCTCTGCAAAGCCAGGCACGTCGATGAGAGCTGGGCCTGCTGCACTGAAGGTGACCAGCAGCACTGTCCCCACCAGCAGCAGCTGCTCCAGCTCCAGCTGCATCTCCAGGAAGCGTGTCTGGTCCATCAGCAGCGTCTGCAGGGAGCCAGCAGAGCAGGGAGTCAGCCTGCAGGGCTGGCAAGGGTCAGCACAGGGCCAGGGAACAGCAGGCCAGCAGCAGGAGCACAGTGAGAGCACTGGCTGCTCTCCCCCAGCTGAGCAGCTCTCAGCACTGAGACAAGTCAGAGCTGCCCCATCTCCCAGTCACACAGCAATGTTCAGCACTGGACGTGTTGCCAGGCTACAAATCCCAACAGCTTCTGCTGTGTGCTGGGAATAGAGGAGTGGAAGAAGCACAGAACCAATTTTTCTGTTGAATACCTACTTCTGGAAAAGGCCTGTTCACGTGATCCCACTTGAGAAGCTTCAGATAGGCCTGATTTTGTACAGCAGTGAAGCACAAGGCAGAAGCTCCACCAGTGGCACCATCATTACAGTGGGGAGGCAACGTTTCATGTCCCAGCTTTGCAAGATCATCTGCTGCTTCTTGCAACCACTTTGTGACAAGGTCTAAAGAATCTGGAAGAGCAGGGAAAAAAACTCTTGTTGAGAAAATTCATTTTCACAGTCAGGTTCTTCCAGCAATAATTTCCAAACAATCCCATTAGTTACTATGATTAATGCCCATGATTTCAGGTATGACATGCATTTCATTTATTGCATCAAGCAGAACATCTAAAACAAAACCACACAGCTACAGGAAATCAGGTGAGATGATGCTGGGTAATCATGCCCTACACTGTACTGAAATTAAACTGAATGTAGCAAGGGCACAACTATTGCTCTGGCAGACTTTTTCCAACCAGTTTTGGGGCACAAGCCCCAAAATGTCATTTACCATATGAATTCTAGAACTTATAAAAATATCTGAGTTCTTTTCATGATCTACAAGCAAAGACACGCAGTTTACTGGGAGGTCAGGGGGGAAGAAAGAAAGGAACAAAGTCATACTTGGCTGTTTCTCAAGAAACTCCTGAAACTTCTTTCTTTCATATTCAGCAGACTGCTGCATTAATTTTGGCCTAATACTACTGACAGCGAAGTTTGCCATATCCATTTTCATTAGGTCTAATACAGAGAAAATTGCTCTAAACAAACAAACAGAAAAAGTTATTCAAGGCTGCAGATGTTTCAGAGGTGCTGTTCACAAGATTTATTACAGGCTGTCTAAAGAAAGAGCAAAAACATGCATGGGAAACAGTAACAGCTTAACAACTTCAGAGCATGAGACAGAGAAAGCTGGAGCAAGCATGTACATGCATGCATGTGCCTCTTCCAAGTGGGAAACAAATCTTGCTCTCCTGTAAAAAAGCTTCCATGGAATGAATTTCACTAGCTCCATAGATTTTATCTCCCAGGATGTGCAGTATTGTATATGAAAAGATATCTGGGTTTCCTTGCATGCCATGGCTCTTGGCAGCCTGGAAAGCCAACCTCAGTGGGAAGTGAATAATCAGACCCAAGGGGCAAAAAAGAAAAAACAAACAAACACCAAAGAAAAACACCTTCATTTCAAAGCAACCTAATTCCTGCTGACAATATTTCTGCCAAGTCAATCTTGAACTCCTGGAAGCTTTTCAAATTAGAAAACAGCAAGGTTAATGAAGCCTCTCCCAGCTACTGAGACCTTGAGCTGCTCCATGAGAAGAACATGGTGGCAAAGCAGAAGCCTGGATGCTCCAGATGTGGAGCACACACTGCCTCTGGAACTGACAGGAATTCCACAGGGGCTGGGGTAGAGAGAGCTCCAACTGGGAGGAAAGGACAAACTGGCTGGACACCAGTAATGCTTTTCCCCTAAGCCCCTGTGTGCTTTTTTCACCTTCTCCTGTTGACATTCAATTCTGATACAAACCGATTATTCATCTGCTACCTTACAGCTTATTTGCATTTGGCATTTAAGCAAATGTCCTTCAGTGCCATGCAGGAGCCAGACAAATCCTCCAACTCACCAGATCAGAGATGGCCCTTGTTAATGACCCCTGGAGCATCTCTCCCCTTCACACCCAAAACTATATCTTTTTTCCTATTACTCTTTTCTTTCTAGGAGCTTCAAGCTGCCCCCTCCACTTCTAAAATTATTTAAGGGGCTCAGAACATGACTAATAAATACATTTCAGTACCTGAAAAGAGGAACTATTTCATTAATATCTTTCAGTTTCTTAATGTCTTCATCTCGAGCTGGAGCACAAAGAGTCCCCATCATGCCAATAACAAATTTGACCAACTTAGAAATGTCAAGGGCCCCATTCTCTGCCTCCTGTTTTATCAAATCCAGGTCAAGAACTTCTGTAATCTGGCTTCTCAGTCTAGTGTGACCAGGCAACAAGAACGACAGAAGACTCTGCAATGGCAAGTTAACAGTGCATTAGTTCTACATCAAAGACTACAAGGATCCAAACAGTTACTGAACCACCTCTCACAGAATTATAGAATCATAAAATGGTTTGGGTCAGGAGAGACCTTAAAGACCACCTAGTTCCCAAAGCCTTCCAGGGGCAGGGTCACTCCCCACCAAACCACTTTGCTTAATGCCCCATCCAACCTGGGGGCATTCTCATCTAAACAACAAATAATTGATTTTTTTATTTTTACACCAACCACTCACCAGGTCCAAGTGTTTCACCTGACACTGTGTGATGCTGAAGTTACTGAGTGGCAAACCCTCTGTGGCACAGAATAAACTTCAGACTGTTGTGCTTGGTTTTATCAGCCCAGGGCTGGAGCATCTCACTGATCCCATGACTAATACCAGTGCCATAACATGAAGGAAGCTTGCAATTATGGAACTGGTATTGTTTACCTGTTAAGCACCTTACATGGCTTTACATTTGGTTTTATATTCAAATTTCTCCTCTAGGATTATATAGCTTGTACATGTTCACAGTGATACAGTAATGAAAAAGAACAAGAGGATTGTTTATGAAAAGCCAAACTCCAGCCACTTTTGCTCATTCATATCAGTGCAGCTACTCAGATTCAATCATTTCCCTTCATATCACACCATCTTACCTCTTTAATTTCTCCCAATAACTTAATTGCATGATCATATGTTGGGGGATCTTCCTTCAGCTGAGCTTCCAGACAATCCCAGAAAGCTTTATGCACAATATCTCTGACTTTCTTCTCTAAGCTGTGAAAAAACATGTTCAAAAGAATGATATTGGTCTCTTCACCACCTTACAAAGATAACCTGCAGCTCCTGAAGCCCAGCATGTAATAAAATCAATATAATGTAGTAGTAATGATGCGATGATTAACAGAGATCCATCATTTAAAGTTACTCAGAAAAGCAGGAAAAACTGGACACAGGATTTGGAATGGTTTATGTCGTAATACAAGGCTAAACACCAGCAAAGGTGGCTACAAAGTAAAACCTTTCAAAGTATTTATCACATGCTGCATCTAGAAAACTGGACCAAAACAAAAAGAGCAAAAATTGCATTTTGTCTTCAAAAGACCAGTAATCATGTTCCTTTTAAAGGCCCCACTAATTAAAATCAATTCCACTACATAAAATTCAGTAGTAAACCTAACAGAAATTAAGTCATTTCCCTGACACAAAATCTTGGGTTTCACTACATAAGTTTTGCACATACTCTGAGATAAGGGCCCAGATCAGTCTGTATACAAAAAATAAATGAATTCCACTGCTTCAGTACCAATTCCTAATTCAAAATAGTGACAGTTCCTGCTCACACCAGGTGTAACTTCAACACTGGCCCCAGTGGAGAGCAAGTTCCCCCCATGCAATAAGCACCCCCTGTCCCAAATGAAGGCAGGAGGCTGTCAGCCACACCTCACTGTGTGTGTGAGAGGCAAAAACAGAAGAAGATGAAGCTTCCTCTGCTCTCCCTCTCCTCTCTCAGCAGGGCACACAATTACTGCAGACTCACACAGACAAGGAAAGGCTTCCAACTTGAAAGGAGCAACCTAATAAAACACAGGAATCTCTGTCTAAAATATGCCTGAAGAAACAGACAGGAAAAGCTAAAATAACCAGTTTCCTCTTACTCCCACAGGCAATGAAAGCTCAAAAATTGCTAAAAGCACCACCTACATCTGCAACCAGCCTGGGGTTCTGGGGAGGCTGCAGCCTCTGGGTCCTGGGCCAAGGGGACACAACAGAAACCACAGCACTCTGGGGTTTGCACCACACATCTCCAATTAATCCAAGGGGTTCTCCTTTCACACACATCTGGGGAAGCAGAACTGCACACTTACCACCTTCTTCTTATATTCTTTCCTACATCCTCCACCAGCCAGAGCCATTACCTGAACCCCCAGAGCTGCTCTGCAGTTCCTACAAACACAGTTTTATTAGTATTTGGTACCAACCTTACCTGTGTTCTGGCAGTTCAGCTGGCTTTATCTGGAAGTCTCCATTCACCACAATTTCATGTGCCAGTGCCATGTTGGTGACTCCTTTTGCTGTCTCCATGAGCTCTTCTATGGACACAGGCCGAGAGGGACTGGCTGCAACACCAATGACACTGTCAGACAGCTCTCAGCAAAAGCTGCAGAAAAACTCTTTTGGACCCTTTCCACCTTACTGACAGCACACAGGGTCAAATGACAGCATCAGCTGAAGATTTTCCTCCTTTCCTTCCCTTCCTTTCCCTCCCTTCCTTTCCCATCTGGTGGATGGCACAAGTTTGGAGTATTTCAAGAAACCAAGGAGTGGATCCCAGTTGATATTCTGGGCTCAATATGACAATTGCTTCTATCAAGCTCTTTTAAAAACCACCTCCAAACAAACCAATACTTCTTTAGGATGGCTTTAATAGCATCTTGGAATCTTTCTCCACGTTGTAGGCAGAAATAATTACAAACAGCACCGTTTTCACCATACTAATTCCACAAGCATTGTGCAGATATTGCCATTTCAGTTTTACATTTTTCAAGGAAGTGATTTCATCATTAAAGCAGTCAACAAACAATCACCATCACTGTTAAGCAGCAGCACACCAGTAGCTAATTATTCTCACTACTTCCAATGCAAATGGCACTCCTCCAAACTCTTTTTTTTTTTCCCCAGAGGCCATTAGTCAAACAACAGAGATCATCAGCACCAATGCTAGGAGCTGTTCCCCTGGCAGGCATTTGGGAGTGGCAGGATGGGCCAGCAGCCTCAGACTGGGTGACAGAGCTGGTGGATGATGGATCCATTCCATTCTGTACTTCATTCACTTCAGCTACAGGCATGGGAGCAACACATTAATCCCAAAAGTGAAAGAAACCAAGCAGGCATCTCCATTTCTCCCTGAGAAATGTTTCAGGCAAACTATGACCATCTCATTTGATAATCCATGTTGATTTGACTTAAGTGATTCCACAGAAAAGGTCTTTCAAAAGGAAGTGTCCATCACTTGTCTGCCATGCAGAGCTTTTCTGAGTTCATACAGCTGGGTTCCAATGTGCTTGTTTTTCATCAATGTCTTGCTCTTTTCATGCAGCCCTCCTAAATCCTGATTTCCTTCTGCTTGGAGCTGAGCCTTGCACAGTGACTCTGGGAACACAGCAGGGACTGACAGTCTGAGAAGCAGCAGCAGACAGCAAAGTTCACAGTGCTCCTGTCCAAGCACCAAATGACTTCACTCCAGCACTGGGGGCTCGAAGAGCTAAGGCTCTTTCACTGGCCAAAGATTGCTCCTAAATCACATCACTTCATTCTCATACCTGCTCCCTTGCAGGAGGGAAGGGCTCAAGATCAAACCACCTCTTTGTGGTCCAGGGCAGTGCTGGACTGTGCCATGCTTTTTCCTTCTACGTGTTCAGGGCCTCTCTCCACACAAACACCCCATTCCCCACCAGGCAACCAGCAAGGCATGGGAACAGAAACTCCCTCAGAACATCTCTGACTAACACCACACTGAACACAACCAAAAACCAAAAAGAATGCAACAAACAAAATGTTACTCCCTACAGAAATACAGAAGCCTGAGCACTTCTGCTTCTTTGAACTGAATCTCTGAAGCCAAAAAACTTCCCCTTGGTTTTATCTACAGATTTACAGAAATATTGGCTCCCATATTGCATCCAAGACCTTCATGTTAAAAGCAGAATAGCAAAGAAAATATGCCTTAGGAAAAACATGCAGTCCTGCTTATATGGAAGTAGCATTAGGATTAAATATACAACTTTCCATCTATCCTGTGAGGGGGCTGACAGGACACCCCTTGGTTGATAACAGCCTTTCCTGCCCTGCCCTGGGAACAGGGGCTGCAGCAATGCACAAGGTTCAGCTGGTAAGGCAAACAGCAGAGCAGGTTTAGCTGGAACACACTGGGGTGGTGTTCATCCATTCCAAGAGCACAAACTCACCTGCATATTTAGGATATATCACCAGGATATTTAGGGCACATGTGGCTCAGAGCAATGTGGTCACTGTGTGCAATTAAGAAAATGTACACACTGTGTGTACAATTAGGGAGATGCAAAGAAAACAGGGAGAAAAGTGTTACAGTTTCAAGGCATAACATCAAGAGTCCCACTGTATTTAACTGCAAGCACAGAATGCTATCAAACACCAGGATTGCCCCCACCAACAATCAGAGAATTTAGGGTTTTTTGGTGTATTTCAGAAAGCAGTTTTGCTTACACTTGGGTGTATCATCTCTGTGGGACCCTGGAGCACTCTGGCGTATCCTCTTTCGGCCAGACTGATCCGAGCTGTCCAAGCTCTCCTCCTCATCCTCCTCCAAAGCATTCAGCTTCTCCTCACTTGAATTTAGCTTGTCAGGATTCTGAGACATTTTCAGTTGGTTCTTTACAAAAAGAAAAAGTAGGAAAAAGGGAATGAATAAGCATTTTCTGACATGGCTGAGAGGGTAAACATTACCAAGAGTCCTCTTGATTAAGAAAAAAAATTAAGAATGAAAGAATTCTTATGAGGAGTTATATGATGTCATCCCCATAATGGCAGGGGACCTGGACTCAGTGACTCACTTCCCATCTCCCACAAAATGGGATGCTTTCAACACAGCTACCATTTATTTTATCTGCAGTCCTAGTCAGTTCTCAAAAATCTCAAACTGTTCCCTTGCCATAATGATACAGAGAGAGAAAAATATACTGTTTTCTTTCCTAGCACTGCTTTTGAGAGAACAACAACAAACACCTTCAGAACAACGCCACAAACATGTTTTACAAAAGATGATGAGGCAACATTTCCTTATTACACAGCAATAAATCTTCCTGAACATAACATACCCCTGAACTATGGTCTCTCCCAACTGCTCACACCTTAAAAACTTCCCTCTGAGCCATCCAAAAGCATTAAGAAGCAGCAAAAGAACTAGAAATAAATTAATATAAAATTCTATTCCCATATTTTCATTACATTCAAGAGTCCTGATTTATGCATAAAATATCACAGTTGTTTAGGTTTTTTAATTAAGACAGTAAAGAATAGTTTTTGTAATTAAAATCTTGGTTTATGAGACATTACATATTAAAGGATATTTATATCACATTGCAGACACCTGCAGGGTACCCAAAGTTACACTGAAAAAATGACCAGAGAAAACCAAGTCTCACTTGGTTCCTTATGTTCACTTATTTCATTCTCAGATTTCCCTATCAAGAATGTCATTTCTACATCCACCACTGAAAACTATCACACAGGAAGCTGCTGCTCAGCCTTTCATTTCACAGAAATCTCTCAGAGAGCATATGATGTCTCTAAATTAAATAACTGAGATGTTCTGTGAAGTGGGAGTCCGGAAGAGCCTGCTTTCAAAATAAAAGAAAGCTCCTGGAAAAAATAACAACTTCCTTTTTCTGCTAGTACATCATCATCTCCACTTTCACATTTTGAAATAAACCAAAAAAACTCAGCAACAGAAAGTCTCCAGAGGCACCTCAGAGCCACTGAGAGAAAACACAGCATCAAAAACTACCCTGGAGAGGATGCAGCAGGAAGCAAGCAACGGTGCAGAAATATAAAACAGCAGCACTGAGATTTATTTTGATACAACAGCTGTAATAACCAACCCTATTGGAATATGAACACAACCCTGCTCCACCAGGGCTTAGATTGATTGCACAGTGTGATTCCAGGACAGCTGGAAAGCTCAGGGCATGTAAGGAACAGCTTTCTCTACAGCAATGACTCAGGATCATCATCTTGCTCGGTGCCTGAGAGACAACAGCATGCAACACATTGCCCACAGCACTGTGTCATTGCTATTTTAGAAGAGAAAACAGCATGAGAAGCTTGGGATGGATAACACAGGAGAGTTATTGGCACACAGGCATCAGCACAGGTACTGTCAGACTCACTCCAGCTCCAGATGGAGGATGAGGAGCTCTGGTAATAAAAGGGCTGCTCACAGAGAAGAGCATAGCAACCACTGCAATATAAAATATAAAATAGCACTGGTTCAAGACAGAGAAAGAGAGACCTGTTGTTGAATTTGGCTAGGATAAAAGCATTATCATAAAGGTTTCCACACTCATTCCAGACTGGATGGTCGTTCTTTCCATCCATTCTCTTCCACAAAGCATCCCCTGAAGTCAAATCTGAACCACAAAGATGACTCAACCAAGCCCCACTACAGTCTTCAATGCACACAACAACCCCCAGTGCCTTGCAATCTCTCACTGCACTTTATCCTCACTACCCTGAGAAAAGCAGAGAAAAACAATAAATCTCATAGAGGGGAAACTGAGGTTTGAGTTCAGCTGCTTGAGGACTCAGAAGATAAATGACAGGGACAAGATCATCAGTGTGATGATTCCTGGCCCCAGCTCTGCCCAGCATTCCTACCATGCACACTACACCCTGAAGTGTTACCTTCCAGAAAATGGCAGCTCCAGAGCCACGGTTTCCAACCCAGCCCAAATTTCATTTAATTACCATTTGTTTAAAAAAAATCCTATTTCAGCTATGGAGGGCAGGTATTAGAACTCCTGGGCCATTCTCCCAAATGACTGCTCAGCAGATGATGTAAACAGGCACACTTGTTGGTTTAGTTGTTTAGTTTTCAATAGTCTGCTCTTTTCTGATGGATTACTGCTATTATTGCCAGAACACATCTAGAACATATCCTCTTTCCACGGGGTAAATAAGCTTGACAATACCTCTTCCAGAAGCATGACCGTCATCCCTCCTTTCACAGAAACAATCCCAACTCTTAACAGAGCAAACTCTACTTCTTGCCACTTCCCTCGCGTTTATTTTTAATGAGAATAAAACGGAAGGAGAAAAACGCAACAAATTAAAATCTAAACGAAACATTTTCCACAGCTTCATTTCATTAGAGCTCCTCAAACCATGTGATGGGCACCTGCACGAAACAGCCTGCCTTAAATCACACAGAGGGTGGGCACTAAATAAAATAAACTTCACTGTGCTGCCTTAGAGCACACACAGGGTTGGCACTAAATAAAATAAACCTCCATGTGCTGCCCTGGAGCACACACACAGGGTTGGGGCAGCAGCTCCTGGCTCCCAGCGCTGTCCCCACCGTCTGAGGCAGCCCTGAGCCCGCCCAGCACTCCCGGCTCTTTCCCCAGGCGCTGAACTCTTCCCTTCCTCTGTTCCCCTGCCACACCACAGCTGATTTCCCTCATAACCCGCTAGCAGGCAAGCCTCAGCCTGTCCGCCGTCCCAGTTGAAGGATAGCTGTGGAATCCCGCTGTTTCCTCCGCTGCCGGTTCCGTGTGAGGCCCAGCCCGTCCATCCCTACCGGCAGCTCACACGGCACCGTCCCCATCCCCACCGGCCCTGCAGCAGCGCCGCTGCTCCCGCCACGTTTTCCCTTCGCAAGGCCCGGGAGCCCCGGGCTTCATCAATGGGCGAAGGGGGAGAACGAGCCCGGGGGGCCGTGGGTTGCCAGGCCGAACGGGGAAGAGGCGGTGCTGGGGCCGAGCCCGCCCGGGGCCCCGGCGCTGCGCTGCCCGGCCGGGCCCGGAGCCTCTGCGCCTCCCGCTCGGCGCTGCCGGGCCCGGGCCCCGCCGCCACCCCCGGCCCTGCCCGCCGCCCCCCTCAGCCCTGGGCCGCCCTCCGCCCCGGGCCGCCCCGCCTTACCGCCCTCGGAGCAGCCGCCGCGGCCGCCGGCTCGGACGGGCCCGGCCCCTCCTGCGGCCGCGGAGCGGGGCTGGGCCGGCGCCGCAGCCCCAGCGCTGGGCGGGCCGCGGCGGCTGCGGGGCGGAGCGAGGGCCCCGCGGCGGAGCGGCTGAGGGGCTGCCCGGCAGCGGGGCTGCCGTGTGGGGAGCGGGGCCCGAGCCCAGCAGAGCCCCGCGCTGCCCGATATCGATGGGTGGGTGGATAGATCGGGGTCTGCCCCACCACACTGCGCTGGTTCAGATCAAACCCCCAACAACCCGCGAACGCAGTCCTGGACTGTCCTTGCTGTCCTTACACAGGTCACGGAGTGACCGCCAGTTCTTCCACAGAGGAGTCTGAGGCACTCAGATTCCCTAAATCAGCCCGAAAAGAGCAAGGAGCGCGCTGGCCCTGCCCTGTGCCCACCTCTGAGTGCCCCGGGGCTGCTTTTCCGTAGCCCGAGCCAGCCTGGCACCGGGGCCAGCCCAGAGACTCGGAATGCAGCAGGAGGTGCCCACCAGCAACAGCTCAGCCCCCTGACAGGAATCTCATCCTCCTGACCGAGCTGTTACAGCAGGCAGCAGGTGGAAAAGGGAAAATACTTCTGCTGAAGAGCAAGCCAATCCAACACCACCACTAAGTTAGGATTTCCACTCTAGCATTTTAAAGGCAATTTTTCTGAGGAAGTGCATTCATAATAAAACCCTTTCAGTTAAAACTAAGAACTATAACTATAAAGGCTTGTGCTTCCCTGCTAGGTTTCAGGAACTGATTATTTTTAGAAGTCCTTTGTAATTAACCAGAAGAAGCTTTTGACATTTTTGCCTTCCATCCCCCATCAGGACACAGTAAAACATTGTCCTGTTGCACACCAAGTCCTTCAGCTCCATTTCAGAGAAACCCTCTGGCCCCTAGCAGCAGACACCACTAATCACTGAAGCATTAGTTAGTGAGACACGAGTCTGACACAAGATGATGCTTTTTAAGAACAGCTCACCACATATGATTGTAACAGTTATTACTACTTTGTTATCATAATTAAATTAGGTTTTGCTCCTAAATAAAAGAACAGAGCTCAACACTTTACTAAACAAAACTCGGTTGGTAATTTTTTCCCAACAGCAGCTGTAATAAAGTTTTGGCGATATCATTCCAAAGTTAACTCCACAAGAGTCAAAATTAGATAACTGATCATGTTAGATATATATAGATATATATATATGCATGTGATTTGCAGTTGCCCAAGTTGCAAATCTTGGTATTTCCACTGTAGACCAGCCATGAAGAAGAAATGCCACAGGGCCTTCATTTGCTCCAGCCCTTTTCTAATTACAGCTGGTGCCATCAGTAAGAGTTAGAGACAGAGCAAAGCCCTGCAGGGATGAAGATAACCAGCCACTGACAGCACATCCTGTGGCAACCAAAGCCAGGCTGACTTAAAAATCCAGACTGCCTTCACCACCCCAGGAGAGCCAGTTCCTCACTGTGGTGCCATTTGAGCTTAAAACAGCACAGCAATTCAGCACACACATGGGTTAGTTGGCTGGCAAGCCTGAAGAAAAGCTCTGCAGTATCAAGCAGAACATGTTTTTTAGCTCTCTTTTCAGCACACAGCAAGTCAAAGATCAATGTTATGTAACACATAATCTAAGGCAAATTAGGGAAAAAAAACAACATAAAATTCAGTGCTGGGGCCAAAGGTGGCAGAGATTTCATTCATGGTGTCTTCCATCTTAGTGATTTTGATACTTGAATAGAGGGAATACTTGGCTTTTGGGGAGGAAAAGGAATTATTTTGGTCCTATAGCAATTACCAATGAGAAAAGCTAAACTATAAATAAAGGTCAAACTCAGTTACTGCTGGCATTGGTAATAATTGCATAAATTCCATCAATTTCCACAAAATAACTTTATTAGGCAGATACATGAATATAAAAGATTTACAAATATATTAGTGTTTTCACTGCTGGGGTATACAAAGTAATCAATATTTACACAAATTAGTAACTCTGTCTCCAAAATACTGCATAAAAATGCTTGGATTACTACTATGAAACTGATCTAGCAGCCTCTTTCTCTCTTTGTCAGAGAGCTTTGAATCTTCATCAATAGCTTTCAACAGAGAGAACAGCTCATCTTTTGTGGTCTTCTCCGTGCTGGAGCGATACTCTCTCTCATCCAGCTTTTGGCAAAAGGTATAACCTGAAAGGAAAGGTGAGACACTCAGAGTATTATCACCACACTCCTCCCACCCTCCTTCAGATCACATCAGCCATTATTACAAACTTTTTTTGCATTTGGGGGCATGACAAGATGACAAAGCTCAGTGGGAAGGGTTACCTGGTATCTTGCTGGGATCCTGGCCTTTCTGCAGGGCCAGCAGTTTATTGCTGACCATTTTGTGCAGTGCCCCTGGGACCTGGAACAGAAAGAGAGGACAAGGCAACAGCAGCTTTTCCATCAAAGTTCTCCATCAGCTTTCAGACAAACAAAACCTGGCCATTTTCCAGCTCCTACCTTCAACACATCTCTCTGGTTGTCCACAAGGAACAAGATCAGGAGGTCAGTTTTCCCTCTGGACAGGTTTTTATTATTGATAATAGCTTTAGAGAATGTCCTTTTCACAACCATCCTGTTGTCACTCTACAGAACAAAGGGAAATAATGACCAGAAGAGGAGAGTTAGTGTCCACCTTTGTTCTTCTAAGACATGGCTTTTCCTGTAGTCACAAATTTAAATTACAAAGGTGGTTTCTGACCAGTACCTGGGCAATCTGGATTTCAGAAAGAGCAAAACAACTGCCAAGAATGCAGGTTTACCTCCTTCTGTAGCTTGAGCTCAGAACTATGTGCTGCAACAGCCATGAAGTACAGCAGTCTCCTGAACTCCTCCCTCACTTGGCTGTCTAGGAGCTTCAAATAGAGCTGAACAGCTTCTAAAGACTGCTCCATCTTCCCATTCACTGGGGAGAGAGAAAGGGATCCATTGCCATATTCATTTCAGTAAATGTTACCATAAAACACCTGAATTAGCCACTGAAGAGATGCCCTTCTCTCTTAACAGAACCTGCCAAACACAGCAATCCATTCTCCCAAAAACCTCTCCCAGGCTGAGGAGAGCTGCTTGCAGAGCCTCTGACAACATCCCACACACAGACCTTCAGCCTGGCATTAAAGCTCCCTTGTAATTAAGTTCAATTACAGTTCAGCCATCTTAAAGGGGGTAAGAAATACTGAAAAAGGAAAATGGTTCTATTAAAAACAAAAAAAAAAATCCCGACCTCTGCTTGTGGTAATAAAGACCTCAGAAAACCTGAGGAATATGTCCTAGATACATGGGCTAGTTTGATGACTTAATTGCAAATTACTTTGTAGAACTTTGCTAAGTTTTAATTTGCCTTACTATGCAGAATAGTCATTTTAGAGTTGTGAATTGTTTAAATGAAGTAGGCTGTGCTAATATCCTTTATCATGTAGAGAAGAAGAATGGGATATAAAGGCGAAGTATTCCAGTTGACATGAAAAAAGGAGAATAATCAAGGCAGAGAACTTATGAAAAATAAGATGATCTGGGATAAAATGTTGAGAACTAAAACATCATAAGCTTTCTAAAATGGTGTCCAAACAAAATTTAAAAACAAGTAAAGAAGAAAAACTACAAGTTGCCAATGGGATACCAAGTATGTACAGCTTTCAGTTTAGCTCTTACAGCCTAAATATTTACTATTAGGCTATATTTATATTTCATTTCCCTTGGATATCTGACTTCCATGGATACCAGCTAGTACCAAATAATAACACTCTGGTTTCACAGCCATTCTACATACACCTAAACAATGATTACAGAGCTGCATGCAGTAAGAACCAAAATGTCAAAGAACAGTCTTTATGGCTAGAAATTAAAAAAAAAAAAACAAAACCAACCATACATAAAATCCTCAAACAAACAAACCCAAACCAAAAAGCCACTTGTAGAAGTCAGCTTTTATTCTCAGCTCCTGAGGTAAACACTCAGTTTCGCAGTACATATTGAGATATGTAAGCATTGGGACACAGCTCTGTCTTACTTACCTAATAGTTCTGCAATTTCTAAATGAATTTCAGATGCATGGCTCAAGAGTGGCTCCTTTTTTTGGCTGTAGTATCTCCCAATGTTTTCAAACAGCAGCAGCTTCCAGGAATCGGCTTTGTCTGGCTGATCAGGCAGGTTCCTGCTAATATCCACCACCATATGATCAGGAAGATATTCCAAGCAATCAATTGCTGCAGAGAGCCACTCGTCTGTCCTGGAAGACAGAGGGGTTTGGGGTTGTGCCTTTAATTGTGGGTGCCCTTCAGAGCTGGCTGCAATGCTTTCCACAGAGAGCAGGCAGACTGGTTCCTTCATCACACTGAGAACTGAGCGTGCGGGCACGAAAACCCACTGGAAATTCACACACAAGACACCTCACCTGACACACTGGGGCAGATCACAGCCATAAGCCTCTTTGTTATGTATTTAATCAAGATGAAAAATTAGTAACCCACAAGTAAACAGGCCCAAGCAGTAAAACCCAAAGTCAATCATGTCCTCTACTGTTAGATAAGGACACAATTATCGCTGGATAAACAGAAACATGAACCTTGATCTGATTCAGACTGGTACAAGTTTTTCTGAGAATGTTTTCACCTCTATGCACAGTTTCAAGCTCAACATTCTTAGCTCTTTGAATACAGTAGGAGAAACTAAACTGGTTCCTCACAAGCAATGTCTCCAGGAAAAACTTTCAT